TTCCCTGTCCCACAGATCCTGCACAATTCCCTGTGCCCCACAGATCCTGCACAATTCCCTGTGCCCCACAGATCCTGCACAATTCCCTGTCCCACAGATCCTGCAGGATTCCCTGTGCCACAGATCCTGCACAATTCCCTGTGCCCCACAGATCCTGCACAATTCCCTGTCCCACAGATCCTGCAGGATTCCCTGTGCCACAGATCCTGCACAATTCCCTGTGCCCCACAGATCCTGCACAATTCCCTGTCCCACAGATCCTGCACAATTCCCTGTGCCCCACAGATCCTGCACAATTCCCTGTCCCACAGCTCCTGCACAATTCCCTGTGCCCCACAGATCCTGCAGGATTCCCTGTCCCACAGATCCTGCAGGATTCCCTGTCCCACAGATCCTGCACAATTCCCTGTGCCCCACAGATCCTGCAGGATTCCCTGTCCCACAGATCCTGCACAATTCCCTGTGCCCCACAGATCCTGCAGGATTCCCTGTCCCACAGATCCTGCACAATTCCTTGTGCCAGGCCTGTGCCCACCCCTCTGCTGCCTCTGCAGGTCTCTCACCCAGGATGGTCTCAAAAATACTCCAAAAAGCTCCAAAATGGGAGTGCAGGGGTGGGAGGAGGGCAGTGGGGAAGGCCCACAGGATGTGCAGGGCTCCAGCAGAAAGTTCACCTTCTTAAATTCAGAGTTCCTAAATTCATAGATGTTTTCTTAAATTTAAGGTTGTTAAATTCGAAGCTCACTTGCTGAACTTTCCCCTCCTGTTTTCTGCTGCATTTTATACCTAATGTTTCTAGGTCTTTAAAAGAAAATCTGATAGTGTCCAGACTTGGTTTAAAATCTGACAAAAATGAGGATTTTATCACTATAATGTATCAAAATAGCAAACTTAGGGTAGTCTGGTACTCTCTGAAGTACGTTCTGTAGTAAGTACCACAGTGCTCACAAAATGCTATTTTTAATATATTTTAATGATAACCTCATTTTCACAGGATGTTAAAACAAGCCTAGACAAAATTTTTCTCATTAATTTGCATTTTTCCAGCTTAATTTATAAATCTTATGTGCTTCCCGTAGTAAATAGATACTGGAGTACTTCTAGCTTGGTACTTTAAGAAATTTAATTGTATTTTTCAAGTGCTTGCAGTGAAACTGGGAGCAGAGAAATGAACAGGGAAAGGTTTCTTTGCCCAGTTTCTATTTTTGGGGTGTATTTATTGTTCCTGTGACCGTGGCTGGGAAATCCTTCCCTGGAAATCCCAACAGCTGGGACAGAGTGTTGGAGGGGGGGTCTCAGGGATCAGGAAGTGGGAATGGGAATTAACTGGGATGAGTTGTGGGAGGGATGGGGGGGATGGAAGCTGATCCCAAAATCTGGGATTGGTCCCGCAGAGATGGATGGATCCTGCTGGGATGAATGGATCAGGTCCTGCAGGGATGGATGGATGGATGGATGGATGGATGGATGGATGGATGGATGGATGGATGGATCCCGCAGGGATGGATGGATGAATGGATCCCGCAGGGATGGATGGATGGATCAGATCCCATAGGGATGGATGAATGGATGGATGGATGGATGGATGGATGGATGGATGGATGGGTTAGGGATGGATCCCACAGGGATGGATGGATCAGATCCCGCAGGGATGGATGGGTTAGGGATGGATCCCGTAGGGATGGATGGATGGATCAGATCCTGCAGGGATGGATGGATGGATGGATGGATGGATGGATGGATGGATGGATGGATCCCGCAGGGATGGATGGATCGGATCCCGCAGGGATGGATGGATGGATCGGATCCCGCAGGGATGGATGGGTTAGGGATGGATCCCGCAGGGATGGATGGATGGATCAGATCCCACAGGGATGGATGGATCAGATCCCATAGGGATGGATCCTGCAGGGATGGATGGATGGATCAGATCCCGCAGGGATGGATGGATGGATCAGATCCCGCAGGGATGGATGGATGGATGGGTTAGGGATGGATCCCGCAGGGATGGATGGATGGATCAGATCCCGCAGGGATGAATGGATGGATGGGTTAGGGATGGATCCCGCAGGGTTGCTCCGCTCGGAGCATCCTCGGGCTCGGCGTCCGCGGCTCCGGCGCTGTTGAGTGAGGCGGTGCCTCCCTCTAACGGCAGCGGAGCCCGGCCGGGAAACGGGATCAGCAGCGGCTGGAGATCCCGGGGAATGTCCCGGGAAATATCCCAGGAAATATCCCGGGATTGCCCCGCTCCGGCCTGGCGGGGGCGGGAGGGGTTTGTGGAACGGGACAGGGCTGGGCTCGTCCCCTCGGGATTGTGTCCGGCTTTGGGAGATCTCGCCTCTAGAGAGGGGCTCCAGGGAGGGGCTCCAATGAGGATCTCCAGGGGGATTTTCAAGGGGGTTCTCCAGGGAAGTTTTCCAAGGAGGATCTCCAGGGATCTCTCCAGGCAGCCTGCGTCTGGAGTTCAGCACTCGGGCAGGGCAGGGTGTCGGGGCTCTGGGATCCCACAGGATCAGGGTCAGGACAGCCGCTCCTCTCCCGATGCAAACAGAGAGGATTCGAGGCAGGACAATTCCTGAGAACAGAGCCCCGGAGCTGGTGAGGTCCAGAGGTGACACAGCCACCGTCAGTCCCCCCTGTCCTGCTGGATTTTCCTCCTTTTCCCAGTGCTTAGAGCAGACTCCAGGATCTCCCCAGCCAGGGAGGGTTTTGTGTCACCCACTGCAAATTACCCAGGCAAAACTTCATTTTTCTTTAATTTGTCATCTTGTGCAGCTTGAGTAAAACTGGGATCAATTAAAAACCATGGGATGTGTGAAAACCCAGTTCTGGTGGAAAACACACAGCTCTGTAAGGCAGCTGGATAAAAATATCACTTCCAATAACCCCAAATGAAATGGGATCAAAGGGGAAATGTTTTCTGCTGTAGTTGTTTGTTTAGTCTGGGATCTGGGGGTGTTTCCTTCTTTTAATCCTCAACTCAAAAGAGCAAGAAAAAATAGCAGCTCTTTTCTGTATTTCAAAGCTTTTTATGTAAAATGTGTTATTTTTTAAATTAAATTAACCCCTTAAATCTAATTAGTAAAATAGGAAGAAACAGATTCTGAGGAATGTTTGAGGTTTTTTGTCTTTGCTTTGATTCTGGAGTTAGACCTGCTTGAAAAAATCTCTTTAAGTTCATGTTCATGGTCAGGATTATGGATAAGCAATGAATCCATAAAAATTTACACTCACAGATTATCCAAAAAATGTTTAAAACATGTTTTTGTTTAATGGGTCTTTCACAAGATATTATTGGTCATTTAATGCTTCTATTTCAGTGCTTTTAAAACTCTTAGTGGAATAAATTCTGTCTCTAAGGAAAAAATGGGAATATTTTAGGCAGAGCTCACAGGGAAGTTTTCCTTTCACCTGATTTGTAGAATCATAGAATTCCCTGTTTCTTTTACTTTTATCTGATTCTCTGCTGTTTCTAATTATTGTGTCTGTAGTGTTTTGGGGTGGCATTGAGAGAATTCCAACCCATTTTAGTTCTCAATGACATTCCAGCCCAATTCCATAGGAATTTACAGCTGTGAAGCTGGGTGTGTGTATTTATACATGGGAGGAGAGCAATAGGTGGAACTAGAGAATTGTAAAATACTGAATTATCCCTGAAGGATGATGATGTTCCCAGCTAAACTGGGAAGGCTCCCCCTGCCAAGGTGACAGGGCTGGAAATTGTGCCTGCTGCTGGAATCACCTTTTTATTAAAAACCAGCCCTAATCCAAGATTTAGTTTCTTTATTTCCCCCCTAACAGGGTGAAAAGACTCACGGTGCACTGAGTTAGTATTGATTTTTTTTTGTCTGAAGCCTGGGAGCTTTCTGACTCCATTATTTTTGATTTTCCTATGAAATACATATCCTTGCCCCTGACAGCTGACAAACAACAGCTGGAAGTCGTTTTATCTCCCCATAATGTGTTTGTCAAAACTCCCCTGCACTAATGGGCTCTGCTTCCTCCAGTCCATTTTCCCCCGTTAATGTCACTGATGTCATTGGCAGCTTTTAGTGATTTTTGCCCCTTCCCTAATTTGTCATTCCCATCACTTTGTGCGGGATCTGGGTGGGATCCTGGAGCTGCCTGGGATTTGGTGAAGCTGGAGATGAGCTGTGGATTTGAAATCTCCTTTTTCTGCCTGGCTTTAATCAGAATCCTTTATTTACCCTCAGACCAGGCGTATCCAAAACCTCAGTGAATTCTCATTCCCCCTCCTTTGGTTTATCCCAAAAATCCTTGGGAATCTTTTTTTAGTTTTAAAGGAGAAGGTTTCAGCACCAAGGCAGCAGGACTTGCAAGCAAAAGTTTAAATGTAGGAAATTCTTTTTTTCCTTCCAAATCCACAAAAAAATCATGCTTGAAGTTGTATTTATGGATTTTGCTGTAGTGCAGCTCCTGTCAACTTAGAATTATGGGATGGTTTGGGTTGGAAGGACCTTAAATCCCATCCAGGGAAGGGGCAGGGACACCTCCCACTGTCCCAGGGTGCTCCAAGCTCATCCAGCCTGGCCTTGGGCACTGCCAGGGATGCAGGGGCAGCCCCAGCTGCTCTGGGAATCCCATCCCAGCCAGGAATTCCCAATTCCCAATGTCCCACCCATCCCTGCCCTCTGGCACTGGGAGCCACTCCCTGTGTCCTGTCCCTCCATCCCTGTCCCCAGTCCCTCCCCAGCTCTCCTGGAGCCCCTGCAGGCCCTGCCAGGGCTCTGAGCTCTCCCTGGATCCTTCTCCTCCCCATTTATCCCACAAACCCTCAGGTCAGCATTTGGGATGTTCCCAACCTCACTGCTGTTATTTTCACTCAGAGCTTTCCCTTGTAACAGAAGATTTTGGGCTGCCTTGCACCAGCAGTTTCTCCTGGTGTGTCCCAAAATCTCCTCCAGGGACAGGGCCTGGTTCCCAGGATGTCACCAATCCCATAAATGCCATAAATCCCACAAATGCCACTTTCTGTGCAGAGCAAGCCACACTCCTGGACCAGGTGAAGCGAGTGAAGGAGATCGAAGCCATCGAGAGCGACGCCTTCGTCCCTCAGACCTTCAGGTCCAGCAAAGAGGTCAAAAAGGTACATTTTCCTTCCAAAAGGGGCATTTTCCTTCCAAAAGGGGCATTTTCCTTCCAAAAGGGGCATTTTCCTTCCAAAAGGGGCATTTTCCTTCCAAAAGGGACATTTTCCTTCCAAAAGGGGCATTTTCCTTCCAAAAGGGACATTTTCCTTCCAAAAGGGGCATTTTCCTTCCAAAAGGGGCATTTTCCTTCCAAAAGGGACATTTTCCTTCCAAAAGGGGCATTTTCCTTCCAAAAGGGGCATTTTCCTTCCAAAAGGGACATTTTCCTTCCAAAAGGGGCATTTTCCTTCCAAAAGGGGCATTTTCAGTCCCTTTCTTGCTGCATTATCCTCTCAGAGCCAGGAGGAAGCTGCACCATTAAGATTTTCCATCGATGTAGGAGCATCAATGTTGAGAACCTTAAATCCACCTGAAATCCCACCAAGGATCCCTGGTGGTCTCAGGGTGGGTTCAGGGAGTTTAAATGTGGCAGAATTTAAGGAAATCACCTGGTTTGAAGACTTTTGTTAGGAGAAGCAGAAGAATGCAAATCCCAAAGTTAATCACATTTACTTTTTCATTAAAGTGGAGATGATTTAATGGTGCTTAACTAAAGCCAGACTTTAAGTCTGTATTTATTCCTGAAAAGAAGCAGCTTGGTTTCCAATCAGCTTTCCAGAAACCCAACAGGAGACATGCAGATCCCAGAATTGACCTGAATTTTGGCCAGCAGGTGTTGCAGGGAGCTGGTGTGGGATGTGTTCCTTTTCCCACTGGCAGTGAGTGTTTGGAATTATCCTGGCTGTTTCCCCAGGAAGGTGCAATTTGCCTTTCTAGAAATCTCCAAGAATCTGGTGCAGCTTCTTCAGGAAGTGATCCAAAATCCCAGTGGTGCAGTTTTTCCAGCTCCCTCCTACACCTTGGTTTTGTCACTCCGTGTCCTTTGTCCAGTGTGTCCCGCTGAGGATCCATGAGGATCCTTTCAGGGAACGCAGCCAAGATTTGGGTTAAAATCCTGCCCCAGTTGGGAATATTGGGATAAACCACTCCAGTTTTGTGTGTTTGTTTCTTTTCCAGTCAGCAGAACCTGCTGAGCCCCACCAGGAGCCTGTGAATGTGGGAGCAGGAGCCCCCGAGGCAGCTGCTGCTGAGAAGGAGCCTCCAGCTGCCAACATCCCCACTGCCATCAAGTACCAGGATGACAATTCCTTGGCACACCCAAATGTGAGTGTTTATCCCATCTTTTCAGCCAGGATTTATCCCACCCTTGGCTTTAGAGCAGCCCCTGGGATGAGAGCAGGGTTGTGGGACCCCACAGCTCCTCACAAAATCCCTGCTCTGGGATGAAGAGATCCCACTCCTGCCACCACCCCGCAGAGCAGTCCCACAGGAGGGTCAGCAGCAGTTTTAGAGAATTTTATAATAACTAATGTAACATTGGGGAATTTAAGATAAATAAAAATTCAAGGCAAATTGGTTTCTGTAGTTGGAAGCCTGGTGAAAAACTCAGAACTTGCCCATTTTGCCAACTTGCAAAGTTTTAAACACGAGACAGACTTCAGCTAATTTTAAATCATTGTAGCTAAGCTTGAGCAAATCCCTTTGGAAGAGCTTTAGAGGGAAAGAAAAGGTTTTTTAAGAAATTAGCAAGTTAAAAATGACTTGCAGTGAAGAAATGAGTGTGGGTTCTGTAGAATGGACACAGAACAGAGATCAGGACATGTCAGTGATGAATTGCACTGGAGCTTTGCCTCTCCAGTGATTATGATCCTCAAGACCCCTCCCAAGCCCAACCATTTTAGGATTCCCTGGACAGTCTCTGCCGTTGTGGATGTTTTGGGCTCCCCTTTGTCTCTGACCCCCTGAGCTTTTCCTGTGGGCCCTGAGGCAGTGCTGGGTGCTCCAGGAGATGATCACAGACCCAGAGTTGCTGACTCTGCCCTTCTCTGCCCTGGCAGCTGTTCATGGAGAAGGCAGAGGCTGAGGAGAAGTGGTTCCAGAGGCTGGTGGCTCTGCGCCAGGAGAGGCTGATGGGGAGCCCCGTGGCCTGACAGCCCCCAGGACACCCCAGGCCCTTCCCCACCTTGGCAACTCCACACTCTGCTCCTCTTCTTGTCTCCTAGAGGAGATTGCAGTGAGCTGGGCAGACAGGGAGGGCTTCACCTGGAAAACCAGGAGTGTCCTGCCCTGCTCCACCTGGGGAATCAAGAATGTCCTGCCCTGCTCCACCTGGGTAACTGGGAATGTTCTCTCCTGGTTCCCCTGAATGACCAGGAATCTTCTGTCCTGCTCCACCTGGAGAATCAAGAATGTCCTTGCCTGCTCCACCTGGGTGACTGGGAATATTCTGTCCTGGTTCCCCTGGATAACCAGGAATGTTCTCTCCTGGTTCCCCTGAATAACTGGGAATGTCGTGCCCTGCTCCACCTGGGTAACTGGGTATGTTCTGTCCTGGTTCCCCTGACTAAGCAGAAATCTTCTCTCTTGGTTCCCTTGGATAACCAGGAATATTCTTCCTTTTTCCCCTGGATAACCAGGAATGTCCTCTCCTGGTTCCCCTCAATAACCAGGGGTGTCCTGCCCTGGTTCTCTCCAAGCTCAGTGCTGGAGATGGGCAGGGCAGCACAGCCAGGGGCATTTCCTTTTTTTGGAGGGAATTCCTCAGGTGAGGAGCACCTGGCAGCCCATGAAATATCATTTTAACCCTCCCAATGAAATATCATTTAATCCCTCCCATTGAAATATCATTTTATCCCTCCCAGTGGAATATCATTTTATCCTTCCCAATGGAATATCATTTATCCCTCCCAATGCAGAAAGTTTCCCAGAGCCAGGTGGGGACTGAGGGATGTGTGAGGCATCCCAGGCCATCCCTGCCCTCCCCTGCAGAGGATCCAGGCTCCATCCCTGCCATCCCTCCCTCCTGTGCAGTCCTGGGCAGGCTCCTCCAAGGGAATCCTCTCCCTGGATGTGTTCATCCCTCTGCTCCCACTTCTCACTCTGGGGGAAATGCTCCACGTTTCCTTGAGCATCTGCCACTCCTGCAGCTCCAGATGGGGAATTTTATCAGCTCATCATTTCTGTAATTACCAGATGATGGAATTACCACGCACCTGCTTCTGGGCAGGGGCTGTTCCCAGCCTGTGGAGTTCCCTGGGGCCAGGGGGGATTTCAGATAATCAAAGTTTCGTCTGAACATCTGAATTTAGCCTGGACAAACCTCCACAAAAATCTGCCCATCATCCATCTGAGTGCAGGAAATCAACCAAATCAAATCAATAAAACACAAAAGTGTTTCTCCAGCAAGGCTGGGAGGAAATGGTCACATCAGGAGAGGAGAAAGCTGAGCCCCAGCTCTGGGTGTGCTCCCTGGAGCTGCCCTGCACCACCATTCCCCTGCGATTTTTGGGGTTATTCCTCCTGGTTCTCACATCTGTGGTGACAAAAATGGAGGCTGACTCTGCAAATGGACTTTGGTTGTTTTATTTTTTTATTTGAGATCCTGGATGTAAAAGGAAAATGTATTGAATTTGCATTCTGACATTTTTACTTCCTTTATGAAGTGTTAGTTTGACTCCATCCTGCATCAGAATAGTCCAAGACCTTGTCTGCAGGAAAAAGTGGGAAAAAATTTGTTTCCCTTGTTTCATTTCAGCATTTTTAAATGGTAATATTTGTCATTGCTGCCTTTTCTCATCACCTTTCATAGAAAATAAAAACTGTTTAATGTCCATGGAAGGTCCAGGTGTAAATTCCTGTTTTCACACATTGTGTTGCATAATTTTGGTGCTTTTATTGGATGTAAAATTATTCTTTTTATTTGCAGCCCTGTAGAATATTAGAAAACATTACAATAGGCTGTAAATAGATTTAAAGTAGAGTTTGTTTGTTTATTTATTGTTTATTAATTAACATCTAAATTTGCTGGAGGAGAGTTGGGAGCAAGAGCTGGAAAGAAAATGGAAATAATATTTAGATAATTTAGAAAATGTAAATAAATTAAATTAATAAATTAAATAAATTAAAAAAAATTAATTTGAATAAATAAAATTTTACATGTTTAGATAACATTTAGGTAATTTAAATAAATTAAAATCAATACATTAAATTAATAAATCAAATTAATTTAAATAAGTTAAATGAAGAATTTTTAAATGTTTAGATAACATTTAGGTAATTTAAATAAATTTAAATCAATACATTAAATTAATAAATCAAATTAATTTAAATAAGTTAAATGAAGAATTTTTAAATGTTTAGATAACATTTAGGTAATTTAAATAACATTTGGAAAATTTAGCTGAATGGAAAATGTACTGAAAATTTTTAAATGTTTAGATAACATCTAGGTAATTGAAATAAATTAATAATTTTTTTAATGTTTAGATAACATTTAGCTAATTTAAATAACATTTAGAAAATTTAGCTGAATGGAAAATGTACTGAAATATTCCAGACGCCACTGGAAACACGGAGCAAATCAGGATAAAGTTGATTTTTATCGTTCCAGAAGCAGCCCAGTGATCGGACCATCCATGAATTCCTCAGGATTGTGCACTTTTCATGGAATAACAACTTGGGTGTTGCCTCAGGGGGGTCACTGGAGTGGGATGTTTCTGGTTTCTCACCCTGCCACCCTCCCAGTCCCTCCCAGCACATCCCTGGGGGTGGTTTTTAACAATAATCTTTGGTTTTGGTACATTATTTTAGGAGGATTTTGCTGCTCAGATGATGCTGTCAAAGAAACCCCTCCTGGCCAGGATCAGATGTTGCTCCTGCTGCTGCAGTCACTCCAGCCTGGGCGATGCCAGGGCCTCTGTGCCAGCTGTAACCCTACACCAGCCCCCTGCACGGTGGCAGTGTCCCATCTGTCAGCTCACAAGCAGGGAGTTATTTTTAGTGGGGGTCCTTGAACTCCAGAACCCTCTGTGAGTGGGGATCAGCTGGAACCTGGGGCTGGACCCGGGGCTGGGGGGACTCCTCGGCTTCAAAGGGACGCAAACCCTAAACCCACAATGAACCAGGGTTGAAAATACTCCCCTGTTGTAGTCTGGGCCCAGGGCAGCGTTGCCTGGTTGGTTTTGCCCAGGTTGGACACAGAGCAGCCCTGGCTGGGAATGGCTCAGTGCCCTGGGTCCCTCTGGAATGGCCACACAGGGGATTCCAGGTGGCTCCTGTTCCTGAAAGGACACAGAGGAGAGGAGGAGGAGGAGGAGGGTGCTCCCAGCAGGGTGAGCTGAGCTCCCAGCCCAGCTCCCACATTCCAGGGGCTCTGCTCCCACAAAAGCTCTGGAGCTGCTGGAGAGGGGAGCAGGGAGCTGCTGCAGGGCTGGAGCCCCTCTGGAGCCAGGCTGGGACACCTGGGGGGGCTCACCTGGACAGGAGCAGCTCCAGGAGAGCTCAGAGCCCTGGCAGGGCCTGCAGGGGCTCCAGGAGAGCTGGGGAGGGACTGGGGACAGGGATGGAGGGACAGGACACAGGGAATGGCTCCCAGTGCCAGAGGGCAGGGATGGGTGGGACATTGGGAATTCCTGGCTGGGATGGGATTCCCAGAGCAGCTGGGGCTGCCCCTGCATCCCTGGCAGTGCCCAAGGATGAGCTTGGAGCACCTGGGACATTGGGAGGTGTCCCTGCCATGGATGGGATGAGAATTAAATGATCTTTATGTTCCTTCCCACCCAAAGCATTCCACAGTTCTCTGATTCTGTACCAGTGAATTTAACAGTATTTTGTTATAAATTCTTGTTGTCTTATTTCAGGCCTTGTACTGTTGCACAAATTCCTGAACTGGGCAACTGGGAGCTGAAGAGATATTTAAATCAAATATTCATTTCCATGTTCTTACACATCTCCCTCCAGTCCTTGCTTTTATGTGACCTTTACCAGCAGTTCATCACCAGCTGCCTTGGCAGAAGCTGATGTCACCTATGGACTGAAATCAGCTGTGGAACAGCACAATCCCACTAAAAATCCATTTAAAACACTGGAAAGTGCAGAGCAGCTCTGAGCCCACCTGGAAGGAGCAGCTGCAGGGGTGAGGACACCTCATTTCTGCCAATCCGTGGGAAATGGAAACAGGAGCTGCTGGGGATGGAGCCCTGCTGGTCTCAGGTTTCCTTCAACCTTGCTCCTGACATTGCTGGGCACCGAATGGAGCAGGGCCCCCAGGTGCTCCCATTTCTCCCAAAACAGTTGGGAAATCCTTATTTTTACTAATTCTGCTGTTTCTCACTAGCTGGGTAAGCAGAGCTGAATGTTTGGAAGTTTGGGGCTGCAAGAAATGCAATTAAGAAGTAATTGTGTAATGGAAGCTGGGTGTTTCTCCAGTGAGCAGTGAAACCTCTCCTGGCTGGTGGAACTGACAATTTATCCCAGCCAGAACCTGAGCTGGGAACTCGATGTTGTGATAGCTTGTACCCTCAGTTTGTCCAGGGCTAATTGGAACATGGGATTAATGGGATCTGCTGAAGTAGCAGGAGGCATTTTTAGCTGCAGCCACGAGCAGCCTGAGGCAGGAGAGCCCTTTGGAACAAATACAGCATGGCCTGAACTGGGCACGGGCTTTAAACAGGGTCTGGAGGTGCCTTCACTGGTGCCAGCCCCAGGAAAACCTGGATTGGGATCCCTCTGGAAAAGGGCTCCTGGAAGCCCCAAATAAATCAAGCAGCTCCTGCTGCCCAGGTGAGATTATTTGTTCTGTATTTTTCTCTGATTTTCCAGCTTGAGGCCGTGGGCTCAGTTTTGATGATGTTCACCATTAACCTGAGGCAAATTTTCCTGTGACAAACCTCCGAAATCCAGCCCAAATCCCAGAGCTCTGCTCCTGGTGCCTCTCCAGCTTTCAGAGGAATCAGGGCACCCCAGAGGTGCTGCTGAGGGAAGCCCCAAAACCCAGTGAGTGCTTTTCCCTCTCCTGCCCCTCTGCTGGGGCTGAGGCTGAGCAGGAATTTGTCCCTCCCTTGCAGGGGCACAGAGACCTTGCCAGGATTTAAGGAATAACTCTGACATCCCACAGAAGTGTTCAAGCACCTTCAGTGGGTATTTTTGGTGACTTGGGAATGCAAACTGAGAGAGAATTCCCTGTGCTTCCAAAGGCTTTTTCCATCCCCAGCGACTGATGGATGGCACCAGAGCCCAGCTGAACAAATCCTTGTTGGGATCAAATCCTGGGGTCAGGGATGGAGCTCCCACTGCTCCTGGTGTTTGGGGAGAATATTTCTGTGCCTCAGTTGTCACTCTGCTAAACAAAACCAAGAGAAAATAAAGTCACACAATTAGGGCTGATTAAAGAAATGCTGGCTCACAATGGGAAATGAGGGCCAGGGATTCACTAAACCCAAACCTTAGGGACTCTCCACTGTAGAGATGATTTGAAAAGGAACATCCAGAACTTCTCAAAAGCCCCAAAAGCTTCTCCTGGCTGTCCTGGGAATGGGCTGGGATGGCAGTGAGGTGCCAGGCCCTGCTGGCTGTGTCACATCCAGCTCCTGGGGACACTCTGGATGTTCCAACCTGGGAAATCCCAAAGGGGACACCAAGGATCCATCCCAGCCTGGCAATCCCTGCAGGTGTTTTGTACCCAGATTTGTGTCTTACTTTGGGTTCTGTACCAATTCTCAGCTTCCTCAAAGGAACACACCCCAAATCCCATTTCCCACTTTATGGGCAGGGCAGGCTGGAATGGCCCTGGCGCTCCCAGAGGGATCTCTGCCCCCCAGCACTGTTCATTAGCCCATCCCTAATTGCCAATCTCCCATCAGCGTGGGTGAGGGAGCTGGGCTATAAAAGGGACATCACCAGCAGCCTGCACGAGCTGCTGACAGCTCTATTTATAACCCAACCCGGGCCCCAAAATGTGTTTCTTCCCCTTTTTTGGTGCTGCAAGTTCAGGGTTAGGAGTTCCTGCAGGCAGGAGTGACTCCTTTTATCAGCTGCAGACACACAAGGGCAGTTTTTTAGGGATATTTCCTAATTATGCACAAAGAGAGGACATGGGGAGGTTTTCTGTCACAAGTTGTTGGGTGGGGAATGGAAAAGATTGGAATAATAGTAAAAGAAATTGAATTATTTTTCTGTAGAAAGGAGGAATTGTCTTTCCCTGGCTTGCATCTTCTATAAAATAGGGTTCAACTTATCCAGGTAAGGCTGACAGCATTGTCCTGAACAGGTATTTTAAATTTCATCAGAACAAAACCGCCCCTGGTCAACACTTGGCTCTGATTGCTCCATTTCCCTCATTAGGGTAATTAATTACCCAGCTTTTAAACCTTGTCAGACCCAGCATCTTTGGAGGAGATTCACAGGATTCATATTGGATTTCAGCAGAAAAATCAGCTGATAATGAGCTAAGGAGAATTAATTCTTTCTTTCCTCTTGGTTTCTTCTTCATGTGTACAAACCAGGTATTTCCTTTGAAATTTGCTGGGTAATTTGCATCTATATTTCTGTTTTAAAGAAGGGAACCTTGTCTATTAGTTCTAATACAGAATGAATTCCAGTGTGGCCAGCAGTGTGTGTGCAGCCTCAGGGAGGGCTCTGGCTCCAGCTCTCCCAGTCTGGCACTTTTCCCACTCAAACACATCTGCAGGAATGCAATTTTCACCTCCAAGTGTCAAACCTGCTTCAAAATAATCCTTTGGATTATTAGAGGAGTTAGAGTGGATGATTTCCCAGAAAGGCAGAAATATTCCCAGTTTTCAGCAGTTGCACCAAGTGTTTCCCACAGATTTTAGTGTGTTTTATATAAAAAGTTGATCACAATCAGAGTCTTTTTGGGCATCACCAGAACTGATTTTTACTCTGGAGGGAACAGAAAACACAAACCCAAACTGGTGGGAGGGAAACCTCTCAGCATGAGGAGTGAAGGGGAACTCAGGGCTTGGAAGGAAATGTTTGGGGCAGGAGCTAAACAGGGATCTTTGGAATGGAGAGAGAACAAGGGAATTACAAATACCAACAAACATCAATATGGCAAAATGACCTTTTGTTCTGGCTGAAAGTGCTCAAGGAAGCTCTGAAGTCTGGAGCAGATTTAAATAGTCCTATCGCCAAAATGAATAAGAATTAAGAAGGTAAATTAATTCCTAAGGGAAATCACTGTAGATCTCATTAGCTCAGGAACAAGATACCTTAAAACTTTTAATTAAAGATAATATTTACTGCAAATGAATAAGAGTTGGCAGGTTTCAGCAGAAACCATAATCTCATTTATGCAAAGTTTTCTTCTATTAGGGCAGACATCATTAATCTCATTGGAGATGCCCTCCAGCCTGGCAGAGCTGCAGCACGAGCAGCTCCTCACAGAACTCTTTTAATCTGCACAAAGGAGCTGCAGCTGCAGCGGCCCCAGAGCTGGAGAAGGGCTGGGCAATTAAAGAGATCCCTGTGCAAACACAGCACCCCGTAATGAGCTCCTTCCTACAGCTGCAAAGGGATCAACTCTGCAGCCTCATCCCCCAAATCCTGCACAGGATCCTGGAAAATGAGGAGTTAACAACCCCTGCATCCTCATCCCCCAAATCCTGCACAGGATCCTGGGAAATGAGGAGTTAACAACCCCTGCATCCTCATCCCCCAAATCCTGCACAGGATCCTGGGAAATGAGGAGTTAACAACCCCTGCATCCTCATCCCCCAAATCCTGCACAGGATCCTGGAAAATGAGGAGTTAACAACCCCTGCATCCTCATCCCCCAAATCCTGCACAGGATCCTGGAAAATGAGGAGTTAACAACCCCGGCATCCTCATCCCCCAAATCCTGCATAGGATCCTGGGAAATGAGGAGTTAACAACCCCTGCATCCTCATCCCCCAAATCCTGCATAGGATCCTGGAAAATGAGGAATTAATAACCTCTGCAGCCTCATCCTGGGATTCCTGCACAGGATCCTGGAAAATGGGAAAGTATCAACCTCTGCAGTTTCATCTCTGGGCTCCTGCACAGGATCCAGGGCTGGAGCTGCTCTGGCTGGGAAATTCCATCCCTGGGAGTCAGAGTGGGCACAAGATGAACCTGGGGAGTGTGGGGGATGTGGAGGGCTGGGACAGCTGTGGGAAAGTTCCACATCCCTGTCCCAGGGGTAGAAATCACTTCTTTTTTCATGGCTGAGTTGAGGGAGTCGTGGAATGGGTTGGGTTGGGTTGGGTTGGGTTGGGCAGGGACACCTTCCCCTGTCCCAGGTGCTCCAGCCCCAGTGTCCAGCCTGGCCTTGGATCCAGGGGCAGCCACAGCTGCTCTGGAATCCCATCCCAGCCCTGCCCACCCTCCAGGGAACAATTCCTGCCCAAAATCCCACCCAAGCCTGCCCCTGGCAGTGGGAATTCATTCCCTGTGTCCTGTCCCTCCTCAGATTCCCTACAGGAAACGTGTCTGGGATGACCATTGGGATTAGGAGGGCCTGGAGTGTTTCCGTGCTGTCAGGAGAGCAGATCCTCGTTCCATCGGGATCCATCCATGCAGGGACATCAGAGGGGAACGAACTGAGGCTGCAGCCCTGCTGCAGATCACAGCAACCAGGTGATCCTGCTGGAATTCCCTCAGATCCCGGGGTCTGGGATTCACTCCAGGCTGGGGAGTGACTGGTGGCAGGGAATGCTGCAGGGACAGGGTCACCCTGATGCCTTCAGCTTTTATATTTCCCATTTTCTGCCCTGCATTCTCACAGTGCATAACTCTGAACCGCACACACAGTGCCAGCAGCTCCCCTCACAGCTCAGGCACACAGAACAATCCCTGTCCTGCCCAGAACCAAGGACACCGAGGCTGCAGCTTCAGCCCAAACAGTGCAAACAGCACGGGATGGAGGGGGGAAACTGGGAGGGTGGGACTGCACACCCTGGAGATGGAATTGGACAATGAACCCAACGTGGAAATGGAACAAAACTTATAAAAGTGTGAGAACTTGTGACTTGGGGTCCATCTTGTGTGTAGCCCTGCCCAGGCTCTTGCACTGCCCAGGGTGTGTCCTGTAAAGGCCTTTCAATAAATCCCAGCTTTATTCCTTTATCGTTTCCAGCCTCAGTTCCCGGTGGCCTCTGAGGGCATCAAGCCCCGGTGAGCTCTGGGGATGAGAGAGCAGCAAATAACCCAGCTCAGCAGCAAATAAACCAGCTCAGCAGCAAATAACCCAGCTCAGCAGCAAATAAACCAGCCCAGGGAGCAGCTCTGCCTCTGCTGGGCTTCTCAGGACCGCATCTCCTGCCAGCTGGGATGGGTTTTATTCTTACACACAGAACTCTTGAAACAAAGTTTGTTTGAAGCCAACACAGAATATTACAAATATTTTAGTAACCTCCACCTCTGCACTGCAGTTACTCAAAGATTATTTAAAACTGCTCTGAAGGTGAAGTTTATTCACACTAAAAATGCCACAAGCAGCGTCTTTAACATAGTGATTAAATCATTTACAGTGGTCATTTATTAATTACTTGTCAATATTCTGATTATCAGGGCATCCCACCCTCCTCACGCTGGATCCTGGAGTAGCTGCTCCTGGTCCCTCACCGCAGCCTCTCGCTCGGTCCCACGTCCCGCAGTTTCCAGCCGTCAGGAGGAACTCGCAGCTTTATTTTACTGCCATCTACTGGAAAAAAAGGAATTTTTTCTCAAATCGCCGAGGAGCGGGGCGCGCCGCAGCCGCGCTGGGGCCGGGCCTGTCCCCGCTTGGCACTCCCCGGGAGCGGGGCAGCCGGTGTCAGAGCGGGGCTGCGGGAGGGGCTGTGATCCCCGCGATTCCCGCATTTCCCGCGATTCCCGCATTTCCCGCAATTTCCGCGATTCCCGCATTTCCCGAATTTTGGGAATTCCGGAACTTTCCCCATTCCCGGGCCCCCTCTGGAGCGGCGGCCTCGCGGTCGCCATGGCAACGGGGGCGCGCGGCGGAGCCCCGCCCCTCGCGGCCCGCTGGCCAATGGAAGTGGTCGGGGGAGGTCACGCGCACGGAAGGGGCGGGGCGGAGCGGCGCGCGGCGCGGTGAGGAGGGGCCGCGCGGGGCCGGGGGCGCGCAGAGCACAGCGGCCGCCGCCATGTTCGGGGGGCTCGGGAGGTGCTTCGAGGATGATCCCTTCTTCAGGTGAGGGGCGGGCGGCTGCGGGCACGGCGGTGAGGCGGGAGGAGAGCGGGCTGAGGCGGCGGTGGGCTCCGGCGGGCCGGTCCGGGGCTGTCGGGGTCGGTGTGTGGGACTGATCGTGGGCTGAGGCAGCTCCGGGGGTCGGTGCTGATTAAAGGGGTCGGGGCAGGTGGAAGGACCGGGACCGGGGCACATTAGAGAGATCGGTGCAGGTGTCAGGAGCGGGGCGGATTAAAGGGGTCAGTGCTGGTGGAAGGACCGGGATCGGGATGGGTTAAAGGGTCCGGGGCAGGTATCGCGACCAGGGCGGGTTAAAGGGGTTAATGCCGCTGTCGGGGCCGTTTGACCGCCCGTGTGTCCCGGCCGGTACCGCCCGTGCCCCCCAGAGCCAAGCGGGGGTTAAACGTTCTCAGCGAGCTTCCATAGAGGAGAGTTGGGTTTGCCTCCCCTCTCATCAGGGAAGGGTTTAATCCACATTTCTCACAGAGGAGATCTTCACCTCCTTGCTGGAGATCCTGGAGTTTGTTTGCTCTTCAGGTTCCCAAGTACAGGTTGCGAGCGGTGCAGCTCATCCGGCTTTATGTGCGTGTTTAATTAATGGCTCAGCCACAGGCGGCCTCTGAACTCCTCTCAGTGCCAGCCCTGCTTAGAGCACCGGCTGTCCTTCAATTAAAACTTTGCCGACGCGTGTGTGAGAGCACTGATGGAAATTGTCTTCTTGTGCTCGTTTCCCGAGGGCACGGTGCTGCTTTACCCCAGCAGATTTCGGTTTTGTTCTTATCCCCTGTGAGGCACAGGCAGTTCGGAGGTGCCGTGGTGCCACATCCCTGGAGTTGTCCAAGGTTGGGTGGCTTTGGAGCAGCCTGGGGTGCTGCAAGGGGTCCCTGCCCATGCAGGAGGTGGGACAGGACCATCTTTGAGGTCCTTTCCAACCCAAACCTTTCTGTGGTTCTGGTTCCATACCGTGAGCACAGTGGTGGCTCCTGTCTGTGAACTCAAGTCTGAGCCCGGTTTATTCCCTGTGGGAATCTTCTTTTGCCACTGGAATCTAAATATAAATAGTGAGTGATGCAGGTGCTTCTCCCCTCAGCCAGAGCTGCTGAATTACCTGGCCCCGTTTCATGTCTTTGGTCAGAAACTGTGATTTGTAGTGGATGGAAATTGGATCAGAGCACGCTGAGGAGCCTCAATAATTATTTTAAATCTTTGAAAAAACTCTCAGGAATTCAATTAGCAGCCAGGATAAGGGGTGGGTGAGGAAGGAGCAGCAGGCCCTGTGATGTGGTTTGTTGTCTGCATCTCCTGGTTACTGGCAGCTCTGGCTGGGGCTGCTTAAAGGAGAATCTCCTGCTGAGCTGCAGCACATTCCAGGAGAATTCCCAAAGCTGTGCCACACACATTGGCACTCTTGGTTTCTAGGAATATTCCTGCTGTTATAACAACTCGTGAGCTCTGTGCAGGAAACTTCCCTATGCAATCCTTTGCATGAAATTAAAGTTATAATAGAAATTATGTCCTGTTTGAAATAACAATCGCTTATTTATGAATTTATTCCTTGTTGTTGTAGCCACAAGGGTTGCAGGAGGTGGAGGCAGGGAGTGTGTGTGAAAGACGAGCTGGAAATTGAGACTTCATTTTCTCAGCACTGTTCTGTCAGTCTGCTTTGCATAGAGTGGAGGAAATGAGCTGATTACCTCAGATAAGATTAGCTCCAAAATAGAGTCATAATGGGCTCCAGCTGCCTCATAAGGAGAGATTTGGTGCTGGACTGGAAATAGTGCCTGGGCTGGAGCCCCTGTGCAGCAGCTGTCCCGGGGAAGCAGCAGTCACTCACTCACCCACCCACAGGTGCAGGGCCAGGCTGGGCTCATCCCTGACTCCCTGCCCACGTGCAGGGTTTGTGTTTGCCCTGCCAGCTGCACACTCTGCATTTCATTCTCTTTAGTTTGTTGTGCCGGGTGTTCTGTGCAGAGGGAATCTGCAGCTGCAGCCTTACATAACTTGGGGGAAAAATCTAATATTTCCATCTAATAGCTAATAAAAAGAAACACATCTAATACCAAGTACAGTTTACAAAAGTACTAAGTGGGGTTTATTGTTCTAGGAGTGATTTTGCATGCACTGAAGTAAGCATTAACGTTACCCTTCATGTTTAATGTCAGGTGAGGGTCAGGTTAATACATATTAGACAAAATTCTGTTACTGCAGAGTGCTGGAGCAATAAATGTGTAAATTGTTTGTCTCTGTGCAGAATTTAATTTTAAAAGTAATTTAGTGTTCAACATGTGAAAGGCACAGATGTGCTCTGCAAAGCCCTGTGAGCCCCTCAGTTTCTCCTCATCACTTCTATGCTATAACAAAAATCTCGGCCTTCTCATCAAAGGTATCTTCCCTCCTAAAAAAGGGTCATATTTAAGTGAATAATTGTTAAATTAGAGTGTCCTACACCTGCTGCCATCCCATGTAATCTGTGTTTGGAGCAAGGATCTTCAATTCCTGCAGGTCCCTGCAGAGACTGTGCCTTGTTCAGTGCATCTGTGTCTGTCAGGGTGAGCTGCTCCTCTTGCAATTCTGGCTTGAGTTTCAGTCATGGGAACCACCAGGGTTTAATTCCTTGGAAACTTTGGAACCAGCATTGGAACCACCAAGGTTTAATTCCTTGGAAACTTTGTCTTCCACATGGATTTTCTGTTCCCTTTCCATTGCTTTTACCCTAGTCCAGATCATTCCAAAATTGTGGTGTTTCTTTTGAGACTCGACAGCATTAATTCTTTTTATTAATGACTGGGGAAATTAAAATTGGGAACTGGGGGCCTTTCCTCGTGTTCCTGAGCCTGCCATTCCTGATTTTGTGTCTGATTTCCCTGTCCCTGGTACCAAGGAGCTCTCTGTGTGTGATAACCCAGCCTCTCTGGGCTTTGGGATCTGCTGGAATGGTGCACATCCCGAGGTGCTGCTGGTGTGGTTCCTGCCCTTGGCTCATGCCAGAGCTTTTTCCATCTGTTCTTCATCCTGGGCTGGGTGAGCTCCTTATCAGCCAGGGCTGAGAGCAGAGCAGGGGCTGCTCCATGGCATCACTAAAACTTTCTGGGCTGAGTGGTATAGCTTAAAGGGATATTTTTGTGCTAAAAAAAATCTTATTTCAAAATTAATCCAACCTCACACTTGTCTTTTTCACTTGAAAGGGAAAAGAATAAACATAACGTGTGACTTTGGCACAGGATCAAAGCAGCCACGTGATGTGGGGCTGGAGATAAGGGTGGGAGCAGCAAGGCTGGGCAGGAGATAAGTCAGGAGCAGCCTGGAGCCTTTCCCTCTGCTCTGCTGTCCTGGGGGTGTGGGGAGTGCAGGAATTGAGGGGAGGGAGGGTGAGCTGTGTTAAACCTGAATAACCACACCTGGGAATGGCTGTTCATGGTAATAAAGGGTTTCCAGTGGGGTAGCAAGGAGGAAGGTGAGATGGAAGGAGGAAGGGAAGCAGGGTCGTGTGTGGGGCAAGTGTCCATTTGTGTGTGGGAATTGTGTCCATTTGTGTGTGGGAATTGTGTCCATTTTTGTGGGAATTGTGTCCATTTGTGTGTGGGAATTGTGTCCATTTGTGTGGGAATTGTGTCCATTTGTGTGGGAATTGTTCATTTGCAGCCTGGCCCTCAGGCAGCAGCACTGCCCATACCCTGCACTTCTGAAAAATTCCTCCTTTGCTCCTCTTTTGGCCTTAATTAGGAATAGCAGGGCTTGTCCAGCCTGGAAAGTTGAGGAAGTTGAGCAAGGTTTTGCTTGCAAGCCAAGCCTTGGGAATACTGGTGGAGTTCTGCACCGGTGAAGGAGGGGAAAATAAGAGGAAAACAAAAAGCCAGTGAGAATCTTCCTAGGCACAGGAAAGGGATGTGGGAGCAGGATTTGTGGAGAGGGAAGGCACAGGTGCAGCAGTGGGTGACTGTAGGCATGGAACTGGCCTGAATTTAGGGGATAAATGAGTATTTTTAAGCATGTGGGACGGGGAGAAGGAAAAGTTGGGAACTGGAAATATGGTTTATTTATATAATAATACCTGCCAGTTTATGGTTCTGGCAGGTATTAAACACGGGCTGGAGTGAAAGGTGCAAGGATGGATATTTCTGGAGAAGATGAGGAAGAGGAATAGGGACAGCCAGGAGGGCAGTGAGGGCAGCTGAGAGGAAATAGATCTCAAACACCTGACCTGAGAGATGGGAATGGAAGATGAAACCAAAGTTTATCAGGAATGGGAGATTGCCCAGTTGAGTCCTATTAAAGTAAAAAAAAAAATTGGATAAAGAATCTTATGGAATATTAAAAAGCAGAGTTTGAACTATCCCGAGCCATTGTCCATGAGCTGGAATAACGCGGCGCTCTCTGGCGTGCAGGGATCCCTTTGCTGCCCACCACGAGCACATGAGGCGGGCGATGAGGAACTTCTCCGAGCCTTTTGGGCGGGATCCGCCCCTGAGCCTCCCGGAGGGAGTGGAGAGACCGGCGGGGAGGAGAGCGGGCGGCAGAGCCCAGCAGGACTCGCAGGTGGCCACCAGGGGCCCCCGCAGGGTAAGTGCTGTCCTGGGCTGGTGGGCTGCTCCGGGACGGGCACTGCCTGGGAAACAGCCCTGGCACTGCCCTGGAACGGGCACTGCCTGGGAAACAGCCCTGGCTGTGCCCTGGAACGGGCATTGCCTGGGAAACAGCCCTGGCTGTGCCCTGGAACGGGCATTGCCTGGAAACAACCCTGGCTGTGCGCTGGAACGGGCATTGCCTGGAAACAGCCCTGGCACTGCCCCTGGAACAGGCATTGCCTGGGGAACAGCCCTGGCACTGTTCCTGAACGGGCATTGCCTGGGAAACAGCCCTGGCACTGCCCCTGGTGCCTCCTTCAGCTCTTCCTCAGGAAATGGAAGGGTTCCTCTGGTGCTTCCCTCATGGCACATCCCTTATCTGTGCTGAACATCTGTCTGGGCTGACTGATCACTGAACAGACATTTAATGGACAAACTGATCACTTACCCAGTGCTTGCTTTCATAAACACAATACATTAAATGTTTCTGTTAGAGAGAGGCACTGAAAGTGTCCCACATGTTCTCTGCATGTATTTCCTTTCCATGTTAACTTAAAAAGGTGCCTGGTTGTGGCTGCCCTATCCCTGGAAGTGTTCAAGGCCAGGTTGTTCCCAGGTCCAGCCCAGCCCATTCCATAATTCCATGATACATTTGTGCATTTCAGTCCCTTGTGTGCAGCTGGTTCGGTTTGATTTCCACAAGCCTGGGTTTCACCACCTCAGGAATATCCACCCATGCATTTTAAACCCTGTTTCAGCTTTGCAACTGGGAATAAACACTTCACGCTCTGAATTTGGGCTAGTTGTTAATATTCTCTCATAAACTTGTAAGAATTAAAGCTCGGGGAAATTGGTGTGGAATTCAGTATTTCTGTGTGTTACCAAGTGAAACTGATGGTGTGTGTTTAATTGAAGTGTTTTTTCAGCTCTGGCCATGCAGGACCACCATATCTAGCCCTTATCTAGAGCTGTATTTATAGAGGATGGGCGTTGGGAGCTGGTTCCTGTCCCTGCAGATTCTCAGCAGCTGCCTCCCTGTTCCTTTCCTGCTTCCCCCTGGATTTGCAGAGGCTGTTGAGGAAAGGCAGGTGACAGGGGCTGGAGGCCAGGCCAGAGCTGGAGCTGAGCCTGTCACCTGCAGCCCCAGAGGGGCTGGCACATTCCTTCCCCTGCTCATCCAGTTCCTGGCAAATATAGAAACTGCATCTCATTAGGGCATCATCCTCCTCCCTCTGCTGATCCTGAGCCTTGGATCAGGGGTGCCCAAAGCCAGATCAGAGCTTTTCCTTTGGAGACAGAACCTGTCAGAGCTCAGGGTTGTGTCCCTGTTGTGCAGTGAGGGGCACAGGTGAGCCCCAAACCCTTTGTCTGTGCCTGCAGCACGGTGACAGCTCCAGGAGCTCTGTGGTGAAAGAATTCCTGAGCTGCCCAACCCTTCCCAGCCCCTCTGATGTTCCTGCTGTTCACTGAAGAGCTGTCTGATGTCACACCACACTCTGCACGGATTGCTTTGCCTTGAGATCTCAAACTGCTGCTCCACCAAGGACTGAGACTTTTAAAATTGCATTTTTATGTAGGAAAAGGTGCAGCTTTGCTGCCATGTCAAAATACACTTCATTCAAATTACTGACACTAATTAGTAGAGTTGTAATTCTGTGTTTAATTAAATTGCAGCAGGCCTAAAACTGCTTCAAAAAGAACCAATTCAGCTGGGACAACTCAAGGAGTGCCACTGTAGGATTCTAATTTAAAACTGCTTTTCCTTTCTCCGGCAGGCTCAGTTTTTAGGGAAGGAGGAATGAGCTAAAACATATTAAGAGATGCTGTTAATTGGGTTTTTGGGAGGTCTGGTTATCCTGTATATAAGGCAAATGTTTAACAGCTTTTAGTGGCTCTGTTATAAAACAGAGTTTATAAGCTTTGTACGCCTAATAACTTTTACTGGTGAGGACTTGATATAGAGAGAAAAAAAATATTATTTACAGCTCTGCCTAATCTGACAGAAACCTGAAGAGTTCCTAAAGCTATTCCAGAGCTGGAGAATTCCTTCTTTTCCATTAAAGTTCCTGCCAGGGGTTGGGTCCTTCTGGCCCCCCGAGTGTCTGCAGCCCTTGTCTGACTCTCCAGTCTGTTCCTGCAAACACCCCTGAGCTTCCCAGGATCTCACTGCCCTGCCATGCAGGAGTCCTCAATATCTGTGGGATAATTTGTTGATTTGCTGATTTGAATCAGCTTTCAGTGCTGCCTGACTGGAATGGAGCGTTGCAGGGTGGGGCCTGAAGTGTGGAATCAGCACAGAAGTTCTTGTGGGGTTCAGATATTTGCCAACCTCTGAGTGCTTTTCAATATTTATTAGTTGTGGTTGCAGTTATCATTTTATAATATCATCAGTATAAATATCTTATTTCCACATACCCAGGGATTAATTAATTACCAAGGCCCTCCTGAGTGATTTTGATTAGATGTGAAATGTTTCATGTAATCTGCTGCATATAAAAGTCATTTCTGCTGTTCCTGATAATAATTCCAGATGTTGCTCCTTTTTTTCCAGGCCACCAGCTTCTCCCTCATGCCCTTTGCAGGTTTTGGGAGAGGGGTTAGTATCCCTGGAGTAGCTCCTGTGTAAGCTGTGTGTAACCAAAGCATGGCAGAGGCTGAGCTCTGTGCTTGCATCCTGCTTTTGGTGCTGTTTGCAGTTTGGGAATAAGAAAATCCAGGGCAATAAATCCTTGCTGGGGCACTGAGCTGTGGATTTGGATGGGATAACCCCTGGGGAAGCTGCAAACCTGAGTGCTGCCGGAGCAGCCTTTGTGGGGTGGCACAAACCACTGCTCCCAGCAGGGCAGGACAGCCCCTGCAGGTGGGCTTGGGGTTTTCCAGCTGTGCTTTGGGGTCTGGAGTGTCCTGTTCAATATCCATCACCTGCCCAGAGGATTATTCCAATTTCTTGTGCTCAAAAAATGAGTTAAGGATTTTCTGTCCTTTAATTTTACTTCATTTTGGGCTTAAATGCAGCTTTCATTTTGCAACATTGAAGTACATAACTCTGGAAATGAATTTATTGAAATTTAAACCCTGAAGAGTCATGCAGGACTTTCAGAGCAGAAGCTGGTGAGGTTTATGAACACATTTGTGAAATAATTGGATACTTGAATATCCAATGAACATTTTTGTTAAATAAACTCATTTTGGGGCCAGTCTGACATCTGAGTAACAAATCTTCCACTTTCATCTTCCCAATATTCCCATCTTAATCCAAATCCCTCAATTTCCTTTTGAAAAGGTGCATTTTGGCTTGTCTGTGTGTGAAGTGCAGTCTGAAAAGCTTTTTGAGTTCAAATGCATGTGAAAAGCAGCTCCAGGACTGGGAGAGTTGAGACTGTGTTAACTGGAGTCTTTTTTTTCCCCCTTTTTTTAGTGGGATGCAGATTTTATGGATCCATTTTCTGCAATGGACAGGATGATGTCAAACATGAGGAACAACATGCTGGAAATGCACAGGAAATTCGTGAGTTCTTTTGAAAATCATTCTGGAATTTATTGCACTGGAAAGTGTCAGTTACTGCAAATATTCCTCAGAAAATAATGCCGAGGAAAATGGGGTTACTCTCAAGGAGATAGTAAGAATTGAAGGGGTTTTTGCCCAGATTATATTGTGTTTATAGTTTTTCTTTATTCTTTGCAGATAAAACTGAAGTTTAATGTGGTGTTAGGAGGGTTAATTTTGTGCAGGGATATTTTCCATAATAAAATAATAAGGAATAACTCTTACCCACAAGTTTAAGCTCTAGCAGTGAGCCTGCCTTGCTTTGTAGGATGACCTGTCCATCCAGCCCGAGGGACACAGCTTCAGCTCCTCCTCCATGATGACCTATTCCAGAGTGGGGGATGAACCTCCCAAGGTGTTCCAGGCCACGAGCCAGACCCGCACGGCTCCGGGAGGGGTGAGTGCTGCAGAGCTGGGCACTGCCCAGGCTCAGTGCACCAAGCACAGCAGGGCCTGCAGCTGCTTGCCCTGCACACAGTTACTGCTGGGCTTTACCCCACCCTGCCATCACTGAGCTCCCTGCACACAGTTACTGCTGGGCTTTACACAACCCTGCCATCACTGAGCTCCCTGCACACAGTCACTGCTGGGCTTTACACAACCCTGCCATCACTGAGCTCCCTGCACACAGTCACTGCTGGGCTTTACACAACCCTGCCATCACTGAGCTCCCTGCACACAGTCACTGCTGGGCTTTACACAACCCTGCCATCACTGAGCTCCCTGCACACAGTTACTGCTGGGCTTTACACAACCCTGCCATCACTGAGCTCCCTGCACACAGTTACTGCTGGGCTTTACCCCACCCTGCCATCACTGAGCTCCCTGCACACAGTTACTGCTGGGCTTTACACAACCCTGCCATCACTGAGCTCCCTGCACACAGTTACTGCTGGGCTTTACACAACCCTGCCATCACTGAGCTCCCTGCACACAGTCACTGCTGGGCTTTACACAACCCTGCCATCACTGAGCTCCCTGCACACAGTTACTGCTGGGCTTTACACAACCCTGCCATCACTGAGCTCCCTGCACACAGTTACTGCTGGGCTTTACCCCACCCTGCCATCACTGAGCTCCCTGCACACAGTTACTGCTGGGCTTTACACAACCCTGCCATCACTGAGCTCCCTGCACACAGTTACTGCTGGGCTTTACCCCACCCTGCCATCACTGAGCTCCCTGCACACAGTCACTGCTGGGCTTTACCCCACCCTGCCATCACTGAGCTCCCTGCACACAGTCACTGCTGGGCTTTACACAACCCTGCCATCACTGAGCTCCCTGCACACAGTCACTGCTGGGCTTTACACAACCCTGCCATCACTGAGCTCCCTGCACACAGTCACTGCTGGGCTTTACACAACCCTGCCATCACTGAGCTCCCTGCACACAGTCACTGCTGGGCTTTACACAACCCTGCCGTCACTGAGCTCCCTGCACACAGTTACTGCTGGGCTTTACACAACCCTGCCGTCACTGAGCTCCCTGCACACAGTTACTGCTGGGCTTTACACAACCCTGCCATCACTGAGCTCCCTGCACACAGTCACTGCTGGGCTTTACCCCACCCTGCCATCACTGAGCTCCCTGCACACAGTTACTGCTGGGCTTTACCCCACCCTGCCATCACTGAGCTCCCTGCACACAGTTACTGCTGGGGTTTACACAACCCTGCCGTCACTGAGCTCCCTGCACACAGTTACTGCTGGGCTTTACACAACCCTGCCATCACTGAGCTCCCTGCACACAGTTACTGCTGGGCTTTACACAACCCTGCCATCACTGAGCTCCCTGCACACAGTTACTGCTGGGCTTTACACAACCCTGCCATCACTGAGCTTGGCTTGGGCCCAGCCTGTGCCCGCTCCCCACCTGGTCACTGAGTGCCACCTGCAGGGATGGGCACCCCAAACCTCCCTGGGAGCCCCTTGCAGTGTTTATTCATCCTTTCCATGGGGAAATTCCTGCTGGTGTCCACCCTGAGCCTGCCCTGGCCCAGCCTGGGGCTGTTCCCTCCCCTCCTGTCCCTGTTCCCTGAACAGAGCCTGACCCCCCTTGACTGCACAAAGAAGATTTAGGGATTGAGGAAAACACAGGGCTCTCCAACCCTGCTCTGTATTAAAGGCCTGTTTTCTTTCCTGTAATTTTGTGCTTTAAGTACACCCCAAAATAAATTACAGACCCATCCAAGGCTGGGAAAACAGAGCACAGAGCAGCAATTTTCCAATGCCCCTCTCTTTGCTGTAATGAATCCTTTTCCTGTCCACCTAAACTCCAAGAGAGGCATTGATTTATGCAAGCCCTGCCTTGCAAGCACCCATTTGGGCAGACACTTACATAACCCTGGGCTGCAGCTCCCTTGCAGCTGTTGTGTCTCATCCTGCTGGGAACTGGGGGTGGGAATGTGAACCTGGCCCGGGCTGTGAAAGCCTAGACAGGATCCCTAAAGGCCGTGGGCAGGATTGGCTGGGAATGTCCCAGCTCCAGCACAGCCCTTATCACAAGGCTGCTAATAATAGCCCAGCACACTGATAAGGGCCAGCCTGCCCTCCAGGCCAGCCAGCACCACAGCCCAGTAACTGCTTGTTCCTCATGCTGGTAATTTTGGCATCAGGTGTTGCTCTTGTGTTGCCAAGGAGAACGTTGGAACCTTGGCTCTGTAGCATTTTTAAACTCAGGGGTTTTCCCCAATAATTAATACCCAGTTAAAAAACTTGAGGTGTTGTTTCATCTTCCTCTCTGGTGGCTGAAGGAAAAGAGGCTTGATTTGTTTTGTTGGTGTGTTCACAGCCAACACGGGAAATGAGAGAACTGGAAAAGCCTGGAAAACTTGACTTTTGTAAAGGAAAGATAACAAATTATTGGGGGAGGATTTAAAGGATTTAACCCTTTGCCTGGGCCTGGAGTGGCAGGACAAGTGGGAATGACTTCCCGCTGCAGAGAGCAGGGTTGGATGGGGTATTGGAAGGGAATTCTTCCAGGGAAGCTGTGGCTGCCCCTGCATCCCTGGCAGTGTCCAAGGCCAGGCTGGACACTGGGGACAGTGGGAGGTGTCCCTGCCATGGCAGGGGTGGCACTGGGTGGGCTTTAAGGTCCCTTCCAACCCAAACCATCCTGGGATTCTGTAAGCTCTTTTACCTAATTTTTAGTTGGAAGGACACTCAGTTCCCCCTTTTTTTTTTTTTTTTTTTTTAACAGGTTAAAGAAACAAGAAAAGCACTGAAGGATTCTGAAAGTGGCCTGGAGAAAATCTCTGTTGGTCACCACATCCACGACCGGGCTCATGTCATCAGAAGATCCAAGAACACCAGGACTGGGGATGAGGAGATGAACCAAGAATTCATCAACCTGGATGAATGTAGGTCTTTTTAGGCAGTTAATGAGCTTTACAGTGTTTCACACTCTGATTTGGAAGTTCCAGCTTGAGATATCCTAAAAGGCACCTTTAAATCCAAATTCTCTTTTGCATATCCCCAAAAATAGTTGCAGGCCATGTGGAGAATTGTGGGCTACAAAGTTTAAAATCGCTACCCAAACCCCTGGTACTCACTAAATGTTTTTTCCCCTCTATTAACATTTCAAATGAATGTGTCTGTTTTGCAGCCGAGGCTGGCACCTTTGATGAGGAGTGGCAGAGGGAGATCATGAAGTTCAGGCCTTGCCGAAGCAGAGCAGCTGTGCAAGGCTCGAGATCCAGGAGTGCCCATTACAGCCCCAGGGAAGGGGGCTCCAGAAGGTAAAAACTGTTCCCTGCTGTCCTGCAGGATCAGGGGGTTCCAGCAGCAGCAGGAAAATGCAGTTCTGGAGCAGTGTTCCAAGGGGAACTGCAGGTGTTATTCCTCCTGTTCTCATGGAGATTGTGACCATTGTTGTTCTTTTTGCAGAGAGAAGCCCCTGGGAGCTCCGGGATCCAGGGTGCCCAGGGATTCCCTGGAGGCTCTCAGTGTGAAAGGAACTCCTGCCCCCCTGAAGGGCTCCAGGAATTAACTGTCCCCATTCCCTGGGGACAGAGGGTCCCTGGCGCAGATGAATGGTGCTCAGTGCTCGCATCCATAAAAATACACCTGGATTTGTGACCAATCTCTGCTCTGTGTTGTGCCTTTGCTCCTCCTGCTTCTCAGTGTCCTCAGACCGCAGTGAATTCCAGCCCAGCAACTTTCTGCCTAAAAGCACTTTATGGAACATCTCTAAGCCTGGTAAAACCAGCTTGGATTTGCAGAGCTCTTCTGCTCCAGCTGCACCAATCTCAGGCTTTACTAAGCCTGGAACTGCAGCTCCTCCTTCCCACTCTGAGTTGCACAGAAAGCAAATTTCCTTTCTTTTAGGTGGCTGAAATAATTGCCGATTTCCTAGGTTAATTAATAGAACTTGAATACACTGTAAAGCACTACTTTAAAATCATGTGATAAATTGTTACAGAACCCCCACACTCACTGTGGTGTAACATAAAATGAGAGGAAATACTGACATATGACAATACTTTACATTTATCAGAGTTTTTATGTTAATAAGCTGTGCTTGCACCTAATTTCCTGTGCCTGAACTGTCAACTTTATATTCCTGATCCTTTGTTTCTGTGGAGTTAGCCCATCATTTTCCATTTTGAGGATTGTCTGTAGTATTTAATTACTTTAATTATACTGTAGTAATATCAGTGTCCTGACATCAGCTGCAACTAGGAATTACTCATGGGAAAAATACGTGGGAGAAATGAGTTTAACTAGAATGATTTCACCATTTCTTGTGTTGTGAAGAGCCCTGGATACAGGAACCCCTCTCCTTTCTGTGTTCTTTGTCTTTTACTGAGGGTAGAATGACCCTAAATCTACATTTGATAGGAGTTTAGAAGAGCCAGCAGTGCCTGAGAGCAGGAAAATCCTGGGTTTCCAGGTGTCCAGTCCCTGTACTGTTCTACCATGCAGAATTATCCCTGTGGCGTAGCAGAAAGAATTTCTGTAAATTAAATAATATAAATTAATAACACTAAAGCTTTATATAAATTCAAGGCTCCATTATAATGTAGCCTTTAAAAGTACTGTTTGTATGATAAACTAGAGTTTAGTAAGTTAAGAGTAATATTTTTTTGGCCAAAAAGCCTCTAAATCATATTTCATCTTCCTGCTTAATGTTATTTAATTTTAATTAATTAATGTTTATTAATGTGCAAACCCAATCAGCAGCACTTCTGTTGAACTCTGAGAAGGGAAGGACAATTATTTGCTTGTGGTCTCTTCGTGAATTAGAGAAGTATCAGTGGCAATAAGTTGATCAATATTAATGGCAATAATTGAACCCTTTAATGAGCAGTGGGGATTGGGGGGGGGTTGGACACCCCTTAAAGTCAGAGCTCAACCCAGGGACTCGTTTTCCATCCACTGGAGACAATGTGGATTCTGCAATTAATTTATGAGATAATCTCAGTAATTAACAGCAACAGTCTTGGAGAGCTGCTGCTGTTAAATTGAAAATTCACCTGATAACTCGGATTTTTGTGTGAAATAAAACAAGCACATCCTGGGTTTGAAGTGACAGCGGGAAGAGGTGAATGTTCCCTCCAGATCCCTTTGCTACACCAAAACTGTTCTCCAATGTAAGGCACAAGTTGTGCTCTGTAAAATCATCTGAAAATGCAACTCTTTAATAAAGTTATTTATTATTTATGAGGTTTGTTGGTTTATTCCACACTGCAGAGGGATTTGTGCATTATTTAGTTTGGGCTGCTTTGAAACAGTTCAGTGAAGGAAAGCTGGTCTCTGGGCGGTGTCCCTGCCCATGGAGGGGTGGAATGGGATGGGATTTAGCAGAACCAGTCCCGGATTCTCTGGAAATCCCTGTTTCCAGAGGTGATCATGCGTTTTCCACAAAAATAAAAGCTTGATGGAACCAGAGTACGGAGAGGGCCTCTTTCTCTGTTTCAGAGCCGCTCCTGGAGCCTTTGCAGGTATGAAAAGCAGCTCCCGGGGAATAATCTTGTATCAAGAGTAAATTTTAACAGCGTGTTCCAAACGGGTCCCTGTGCCCCATCCCAGCCTTGTGTTCCCCATTCCCGGCACTTCAGCCCCCGGGGCCAGGGAGCGCCGCTCTCCCGGTGTTTTTAATTCCTGCTAATTCCCAAACTCCCGGGCTGTGACCCCGCCGCCGATGGCGGCTCCGTCCCGCTCCATGGTTCGGCTGAAATCCGCCCCTTTCAGGCCGTACTCGGAGAATTCCGCACACCGGGACTCCCCGGCTGGTTCAGATCGCTGCCGGGAGGGGACCAGCCCGAGGGCGCTCCGGGATGGGCTCGGTGCGAGCCTCCCTTCTCCATTCCCCACCTCGGGGCTCCCGCCCGGTGCCGCTCCCTGAGGGGCGCGTGATGGGCCGGGCAGTGAGAGCCTCCCCTCCCGGTGCCACCGCTCCCTGAGGGGCTGGGGCGAGATGAGAACCTTCCCTCTCCATTCCCCCCTCGGGGCTCCCGCCGCAGCCAGAGGAGCCCGTGAGGGGCCGGGCAGTGAGAGCCTCCCCTCTCCATGCCGCCCCTGGGGCTTCCTCATGGTGCCGCTCCCTAAGGGGCCGGAGAGGCGCTGAGACCCCCCTGTCCATGCCGCCCCTGGGCCTCCCGCCGCCACCGGAGGAGCCCGTGAGGGACGGGACGGGACCGCGGCGCCTGCGCGAGGCCCCGGAAGAGGCGGGAGCGACCCGGGGCTGCAGCCGGGATTGGAGCCGGGATTGGAGCCGGGAGCGGGGCCGCAGCCACAGCCGGGGCCATGCTCAGGGTGTTACGGGCCGGGCTGGCCCCCGGCCGCCCGCAGCACATCCAGGTACCGGCGGCGGGACCGCCCCTTGCCCCTGGGAAGGGAGGGGGCCGGGAGCAGAAGGGATGGAGGGCGGAGGGAGAGCCCGGACGGGCCGCAGCAGCTGCGGGGAACGAGCAGCCCCCGGTCACATGGATGGGGACCGGGGAACCGGGAATGGGCAGCGGGGCGGGGTGCGCGGTGCGGTGACAGCTCCGAGGTGACCCTGGAAAGGCCACTCGGTTTGAGGTGACCGGTTCGCCATAGATTGGCAGGAAACCGTGGGGAAGGGTTTGGCAGTTTACCCATGGGCACAGTGAATCCCAGGATAAATTACCTTGGAACAACCCTCCAAGACCATCGAGTCCCAGCTGTGCCCGATGCTCACCTTGTCCCCAGCCCAGAGCACCAAGTGCCACCTCCAGGTATTCCTGGGACACCTCCAGGGATGGGCACTCCAAACCTCCCTGGGCAGCCCCTGCCAAAGCCTGACCACACTTTCCATAGAGAAATTCCTCTTGGTGTACACCCTGAGCCTCCCCTGGCCCAGCCTGAGGCCGTTTCCCCTGGTCCCATTGCTGGTGTCCTGTGAGCTGTGTTGGATCACCCCTGGCTGAGCCGGTGCCCTCGTGTTGCCTTGCAGCTCCTGCTGACCTCGTGCCGGCCCTGCTCCTCGGGGGTCCTTCCCAACGAGAGGATCAGGAACATCGGCATCTCCGCTCACATCGACTCCGGCAAGACCACGCTGACGGAGCGGATCCTGTTCTACACGGGCAGGATCGCGCAGATGCACGAGGTCGGGCTGAGCTCCCATTGGGATCTTCCTGGGACTCACCTCCACGCTGTGTTTTTGTGCATGAGGGAGGATGCTCAGTCCATGCAGCATCACTCCTGCACATGGATTCACAGTGTCATGGAATGGTTTGGGTGGGAAGAGAGCTTAAAGCTCATCCATCCCACCCCCTGCCCTGGGCAGGGACACCTTCCACAGATCAGGTTGCTCCAAGCAACCAGCCTGGCCAGCCTGGCCTTGGACACTTGCAGGGATAGGATATGAATTCTTAGCAAACTCCTTGAGCTAATTTTTTAATTTCTCCTAAGGTGAAAGGTAAGGATGGAGTTGGAGCTGTCATGGACTCCATGGAGCTGGAGCGGCAGCGGGGCATCACCATCCAGTCTGCAGCCACTTACACCATGTGGAAGGACACCAACATCAACATCATCGACACGCCAGGTACGGGCAGCTGGCAGCACCTGGGGATTGCAGTTCCTCATGGATACAGGGCATGTGCTGCATCTTTGTGTCCCTGGTTGTGATAGAACATGGAGTGGTGGGTTCAAACTGACACAGGGATGGATGGGGTATTGGGCAGGAATTGTTCCCGGGCAGGGTGGGCAGGCCCTGGCACAGGGTGCCCAGAGCAGCTGGGGCTGCCCGTGGATCCCTGGCAGTGCCCAGGGCCAGGCTGGATGGGGCTTGGAGCAGCCTGGGACAGTGAGAGGTGTCTCTGCCATGGCAGGGCTGGAATGGGGTTTAAAGTCCCTTCCCACCCAAACCATTCCATGGCTCTGTGCTCCATCACTTCAGTGCATTTATCATTTTATGTGTGTTTGTTATCCAGGCCATGTGGACTTCACCATTGAAGTGGAGAGGTCTCTGAGGGTGCTGGATGGAGCCATCCTGGTTCTCTGTGCCGTGGGAGGTGTGCAGTGCCAGACCATCACTGTCAACAGGCAGATGAAGCGTTACAACGTCCCCTTCCTTACCTTCATCAACAAACTGGACAGGATGGGCTCCAACCCGGCCAGAGCAGTGCAGCAGCTCAGGTTTTGGCATTTACAGTGATTCCTGAAATTCCATCCCCATGGCAGCTCATTAGGATCAATATTGGAAAGGCTTCTCTTGGGAGCTGCAGTTTGGAGAATTCCTGACTCGGGGTTAAATCCTGATCTGAGCCAGGACAAATCTCCATTGTTCCAAAACCCCCCAAATATTGGTGCCAGCCAGGACCTGCAGTGCCCAAGGGCTGGGGTTTGATGTTTATTTTGTTGGTGGAACTGTATCAGGACCCACTTTGAGAGCAGCCTCTTAGTTTTCCCTGGATGCTGCTGAAATTCCAGCAGGGAGGTGACACAGGGTGCTTTGGATTCCTGGAAGTCCTGCTTACTCCCAACCTTTCCCTGCCTAATTTGATCCATGAGATAATCTCATCAATACTCATTAAGGGGCAGGCAACTCCTTTAATCAAGCAATCAATCTCAAACTGGTTTCCCCTGCTGCCTTTCCCATGGGAATTCTCCCTGGGCCTGTTGGGATACAGAAGGGGGGACACAAAGCTCTAAACCACAACTGGGTGGCTTTTATCCATATTGGCAGAATTGGGCACTGTCCAAAGGACAAAACACGGATTTTGTGGGAGGGGGATGTTGCTCAAAGACCACCTGGAGCACACACATAGAAATGACTTTTTTATTCAATAATTCCTGTTTTCCCCTTTTTCAGATCCAAGTTGAAACACAACGCAGCTTTTGTTCAGATTCCAATTGGGCTGGAAGGAAACTTTAAAGGAATCATAGATCTCATTGAAGAAAAAGCAATCTATTTTGATGGGGCACTTGGGTAAGTCCTGGAAATCGCTTCTTTTCTAGCTGGAGCTGGGAGGAATTCCTGCAGTTTCTCTTCAGAGATGAAACCCATCTCTGGAAATTTGGGAAGGGCTTGTGCCTGGGGCCTGCAGGGAGCTCTGGGTGGGGGTGGCTGCAGCAGGACCTGGCTGCTGTGAAGGGGTGGTGGCCACACTTGCCACCTGGAGAAGCAGGAGAGTGCTCTGTGCAGGGATCCTGCAGCGTGTGTGGCTCCCTGGGATGGAGATCAGCTGTGGCTGAGCTGCTGGGAGGTTTCCCCGATCCCTGCCAGCAGTGGGAAGGACCCTCCCACACCAGAGATAACACGCTGATCTTCACAGGGGATTTCTTCCCAGGGTGGATCGTTCTCAGGCAGGCTGGTCACGCCAGGGATGGGCGGGCTGATTGATTCCTATGGAATTGCTGGAGATTCCTGGGGGTCCCTGTGCAATCCTGGGGGTCCCTGTGCTCCCTGTGGCATTCCTGGGGGTCCCTGTGCAATCCTGGGGGTCCCTGTGCCCCCTGTGGCATTCCTGAGGGTCCCTGTGTGTTTCCTGGCGGTCCCTGTGCTCCCTGTGTGTTTCCTGGTGGTCCCTGTGCTCCCTGTGCAATCCTGGGGGTCCCTGTGCAATCCTGGGGGTCCCTGTGCTCCCTGTGGCATTCCTGAGGGTCCCTGTGTGTTTCCTGGGGGTCCCTGTGCTCCCTGTGGCATTCCTGGGGGTCCCTGTGCAATCCTGGGGATCCCTGTGCTCCCTGTGGCATTCCTGAGGGTTCCTGTGTGTTTCCTGGTGGTCCCTGTGCTCCCTGTGTGTTTCCTGGGGGTCCCTGTGCTCCCTGTGGCATTCCTGAGGGTCCCTGTGTGTTTCCTGGGGGTCCCTGTGCTCCCTGTGTGTTTCCTGGGGGTCCCTGTGCTCCCTGTGCAATCCTGGGGGTCCCTGTGC